TTGAACGATGGGGTCGCAGATTACAGCGCGAGGAGGGAGGTGATAAGACGACACGGTGGGTCGGTGGCGAGAAGGGTATGGTAAAGACAAGATGAGTCTAAGAAGGGTTAAATTACTCACCTCTTCGTTATAACTACAACGCATTTCATCCCCTCTTTCATTCCTCTGTCGTAAACTTCTAGTACCCACGACCCTCGAACGTCTTTGGTGCGATTGTGGGGTGACCGAAATCCTAAATAGGAGCCGTAAATGATATCTATTAATAAGCTGGATCACGCTTTCTCTTTTGGATCTTCTTCAGGAAAGAGAGGAAAGAGTCTTCCCAGGTACACACACACACACGCGCGCGCGCGCACACACACACACACACACACACACACACAACAAATAACATATTATTTATATATACATACTATTTATACATACACACACACACACACACACACACACACACACACACACACACACACACACACACACATATATATATATATATAAAATAAAATAACATATTATTTTATAATATCGAAAATGATTCAATACAATAATGTAAATTTGTAACTAATACAAAAAGATTTCAATTAATCCAATTTCTAAACTTGTATCACTGCATGCTATTATGAGTGACATTTTTGTATTAACTGTTACTATTAGTCAATTAATTTTTGATATTTGAAATGCAGGTAGATTAAATGCCAACTCATTACGTTTCTCTCGCAAAAGATATATTGATAAAACAAAATAACAAACTACATGAAGATACTGATATGCCTTCCGCTATAGTATCATTATGTCTGAAAGCATTTCACTTCGTTCTCAGTTTTTCCGTCACGAACCGAATTTCATGTAGCGCTCACGTACCGTGCCGTCATTCAAATTAATTGCGCTTACTTTGAGCGCGATTCGTCGGGATCTCTTCAGTGGCAGTTTCGGTTTCAAAGCGCCGTGCGGATGAGTACGAATGTCAGGGAAAGTACGCGTGTACCAAGGCTATACGTGTGCCGGCGGGTGAACGAGGGGGGGTGGGATGGAGGCAGGATGGGAGGCTTGAGGCTCTCTCGTGTACACCCGACTCCACCTTATTACAATTAGCTTCCTTATATATCTAATTAGCAAGATTCTTGGCGCACGGGGTTTCAGTGCGAAGTGAAAGACGGCAGTTGCCACCAGAGCTCTTCGCTCCTGTCTAATATAACTCCGCCATGCTCCAGTCTGCGAGACGTAATATCTCGCGTAGGTGTAGGTGCGATCGTGTACGCACGTACGGTTTGCTCCAAGTTTCGGGACTAGCCTGACGTGTTGCACACGTTGCTTATGAGCGATTGTATTGAGAACGAGGGTCCTATCGGAACGACTTTTAAATTTCAAAAAGAACGAGAGACGTAAGATTCTTTCGTATTTTGTTTCAGTTATACTTTATCTCGCGAGCCGCTTATTTACCGTGAAAAATTTATAGAGCGAATAAAAACGAGAATATCTGGGAGGACTATGAGTTATGAATTTTACACTAAAGTTGTGCAATTCGAGGACAGCAAGAATTTCATTTTAGCCGACTTCACCTTGAGAACCACCTACCGGTCGCAAAATAATTCACAAGTGAGGGTAAACTGACGGAAGATAATTTTTAAACCCTTTCTTCGCCGGCAACCTAGCTCGGGGCGAACATGAATGGACGGCCGGCCAGCGGTTGGCTTCAGCTTACTTAATTATCGCACAAAGAAAGAATGGCCCGTGGAAATGTAAAATAAAGGCTGCGCCGTGTTTCCCCGGCGCTTTCTCAGCCCCTTCCAGACTCCTGTACCTTTGCTGTTCGTCCATTCCTTTGCCACTACGGCTCCGTCAGTCTCAAAGGACAAACGCGATCTCCCGGAGGAACACAAGAAGGAGAGACAGAAGGGGAAAAGAAGAACGAGGAAGAGAATGGGGTAAGAACTGACTGGTATAGGAAGGGGTTGACTTTCCACAATTAATAGTGACTAACGTCCATTAAAAACTAATTCCTTTATTTATGGTTCACTTCTCGATTCTCCTGCGACCTTCCTTCTTTCGCCTCTCGATTCTTCTCCTCGCTCCTTCTTGTCCTCGTCCGCAATCTCGGCGAGGGATACTACGTCCCTTTATTTGCTCTTTCCCCAAACAACAACTTGTTACAGGACGAAAGTTGCCGCTTTTTTTCTCGGTATAGCCGGTCTCGAATGACGGATTAAAATTGGGAAAGTTCTTGCTACCGGGCCATATTTTTCTGCGGGTTCCTCGTTAAAAGTAATTGCGTCCTGGTAGCCTTGTCTACGTTCTTCTGTCGATTCGAGAGGTACGTTTGTACTAAATCTTCTAATGCGGTCTTACTATAATATATGTTGATAAGCGCAAGTCAACACAGCAATGTATTCCCCGTATAATATAATATTCCCCATATAATATTAATTACATTTAATTACTTATTAATACACATACATTAACTACATAATTATATTTTGTTAATGCCAAAAGTTAAGAGATGATATTTTTTACAATACAAGCAATGAAATATGCATTATTATAGAATAATTTTAATAAACATCTAAGAGATCAGAGGTACAATAAATATAATTTGATAAGTATCGTTTTTCATATCCCGATTATATATGATAACTCGATTGTTCCATTATTTTTCTCTGAACTCTTAGTCTTTCGACGGTTTCCTTTTAGCGCTGTACAAAAGCTCGTGCGCGTCGACAATACGAAGAACGGAGAAAGATTGATGGCGTAGAGAGGCGGTCAAGTCCGAAGCGCTTTCACGGCGCGAAGCGAGAGCGCGTCGCCGGCGGGTCTGCACATTTTTAATTGTAACTAAAATAATTATACTTTGAGGAGAACCGGCCGCTTTGACACCGCCGCGCGTGGCCAGCAAAGGCAGCGGCGAAATAAAAAGTCCGTCCCTGTTCGTCTCGTACTGCTCGCACGTCTCGACGCGGTCGTTGCGAGGAATATGTAATTTCGCCTCTGCGAAACTGACAGCCCGGAAGGGGCCACACACCGGCGTTGCACCCCTAAATAATAATAAGTACGTCTAGTTACGTCCATTCGCATCCATCTCCCTCCACCCTCCCTCGCGCCCTCTTTCAGCCCGTCCCCCTCCTCCTCCGTCCTGTCTCCTCTTTCGCAGTTTTGGATCGCTGTACGTTAATTTCTACACGTCAAACGAAGTTGCACCGGTCGCGTGTTTACATGTCGAAAACGAGCGTAATGGGCTGCCGCTGCAACTTAGTCGCGTGATTTCGCGCGGTGCGGTGCGGTGCGGTGGCCGGTGACCTTAAGCACCGTTCACAAATGCAGCACAGGGTGCACCGCGGTGCCCCCGTGGGGGAGGGCAGGATGCGTGGGGGTAAAAGGGCGAGGCAGCCGGCGGCGCACCCTTTGAAAAAATTGTTCCGGGCTCGTCACGAAACCTGGCTGGAGAGTTTCGGAAAGTATGTTAAACGGATTTCGCGTTCGACGAAAATTAATTATACGACCAGGCGGTAACCGGCTCGCTCGCTCGCTCGCTCGCATCGCTCTCTTTCCCGTTGTCCCTGTCTTTTTCCACCGTGTTGTCGGACCTTCCTTTCGACGATGAGGCGGCCCACCCCGACGCTTTATCATTCATAAAGTCTCGGATTTCAGAATTCGCGTAACCCAATACGCCCGCGGCTCTTTTCCCGTTTTGCGCGAAATTTCACCGAATTTCTTGCGCCACCCGACGCCGCCCACTTAAAAAGCTCCGCGTGCACACCGCGAGCTGCCTGCTTGTTTTTTTCTCTCTCTTTCTGTCTCTTTCTCTCGTCGAATATATTTTTCCGAGTGGACGCGGCGACGAGGAGGAAGGAAAAATGTAGGAAACACGCGCAGAGGGACGAACTGAATCTCCGGGAAAACTCTTAACGCTGCCTGCCGACGCTCCGACTGAGAGAATCAAGTTTGAGATGCAGCCTGCGGATATTCGAATGTGCATATAAAGGGGAATAAAGCAACGAGTGCGATGGTTCCATATGTATAATGCGAACGTACCGGGTGATCGGATGGGATTTTTGATCATTTCTTTGAGATAAGATTGATAAGATTGCATCTCCTGAAGATCTAACATGTAACATCTTTTTTATTAATTTCTTTCTCTACTTGATTTTATTAGCAATATTCGCTTCTATTTTTTTTTTTTAGTTATCAATTAGTAACATTAGTTACTTGTATTAATATTTTGTATTAGTATTTTTTTGTATTGGATAAATAATTCAACGTATCGTAAATCCATTTTCCATCTTTGTTCTCTGTTGCAGCATTTTCAGTCACCCGGTAGATAGCACACTGGAGCTTAATTAAGATATGTATTTATTTTAATTCCTCTCGGGCCGCATAGAGATGGCCGACTGGCCGGGCATAGGATAACACGATTTGCTTAGAGCCGTCGGTGCGCATACATCTCGCACGTGCAGAGAGATTTTCAATTCAGGTATAAGGAAAGAGCAGACACGCCAGCACCACACCGGTGTAATAAATAAGTAGGAAGAAAGAAACAGAGAGAGGAGGGGTGCCAAAAGTGAATTTTGCGTTCCGTTTTTTTTTTAATCTGCTCTTTTTCGGGATCGCATGCGGCAAGTGCTCTTTTGGAAGATGTACCTCGCGTGATTCGGCCGGCGGTGAAGGGTCCACTTCGCAGAATAAAATTAGGAAACCGTATCCTTTGAGAAGATGTGTTCATTCTTCTTCTCTCTGTTTTTCTTTCCGTCTCGTTAACTCTTTTACCCTATGGGAACGAGTGGTCTGAGGAATGAGGTCTTTACTCTCGTAGCTTTATTTCGAAATGCATTATGCAAATTTGTAATAGTATTTTCGATACTCGCAATGTTCTAATATATTATTTAAGAATATCTATTTGCAAATAAGATACTAGAAGAAAACTTTCATTGAAACAATTTCTTTTTATTTACATAATAGCATTCGATACTTTTTTTTAAGAAAATAATTACGTGTCTTATCCGTTTCAGATTACGATATCTGCGATTTAGAGGGCCACAAAGTGGTAAGTCATAATTACTTTTATACTCTTTCAACTTTTTTCCGCGCATTCAAGCGAGGAAAAAGTCGGTTAATCGTGTACGAGCAAACTTTGAAGGACGAACATCACAAGATAAAAGTAAAAACCCTCTGGTTCCGGAAAGGACTATGCCCCTAAGAGAGTCCCCGTAATTCTCAATTCGAAATGCTGTTCTCCGACTCGTAAAAGTTAGCATAAAATCGTCGTACGGTCGGCATGTCAAACAAAAGACCAAGTGACGTTGCCACGACGCGTAAATGCGACTTATATGTATATGTATATGTATATGTTCGATGCACATATAATACTGTAACATATGATCAAGGGTTGTTGAAAGGATGAATGAGAAATGGGTTTGGGTTGAAACAAATTCGTTCCTCGAACCATCGCAAATCGTTTGTTCTTTTCTTTCCTAAAATTAGCATAATTTACAATGCGCTATGTGAGCAAAGTGATTTCGCTTCTGCCAGTAAAGTCGCAATGTTCCTCTGCGATTCAAAGTAGAACCACATTTTATGATGACGATCTGTTTAAATTGGCAACATTTACTTTTTTTCGATCTTCTTTATATCAAAGATTTGGTAATTTTAAGGATTTTACAGATAATTATAACTTTTCAATATAATCGAGATATAAAGTTGAAAAAGTGGAATTTTATAAATAATTCTAATCAGAAAAAATCTTTTCAGAAGAAAATATCTTCGTTACTCTAAGACTTTTATCTTTTTCATTTCCATTGTTCTAACACAGAAGAGAAAGTTTAACAGAAATCTTATTCTATAGTTATTCTTGTACGTATTTTATTATTAATTCTAATATATTTAAGCCGATTCTGATAAAATACAAGCTTAACTATTTCTTCAACCCTCGATTCCCTTTTTCGCTCAAGACGCGTCATCAGCGACGGATTTTAAAATCGTCTCGATTTTTCATTGCCGCTACGTTTCCTTCGTGCGATTTCTGCGGCTTCGCAGGCTTCCGCCTTCGAGACGCTAATGGGTGCGTACGAATATTTCATTCCCTGTAAGATGCCATTACGAAAGTATATAGGATGGCTGTGTGCACGGTAGAGTCGCAGGTTGGAGGGGCGAGGAGATATTTAATGACGCGTGGCGATATTAAAATGGCATAAAAATGAGGTGTAATTTGTATCTGGCCTCAAAAGTTGCCCTCATCCTTCGCTCGCAGCCAGATTACACTCTGCTCTCTTTCTTCTCTCCTTCTCTCTCTCTCTCTCTCTCTCTCTCTCTTTCTCTCTCTTTTTTCGTCGTGTACTATTATTGTTATTAATATAAAAGGTCGCAGGCTCACTTAATACCTTGAGAAATCGCCGCATTTCCGTATCAACTGTTCCACCCCCGGTCGCGTCGACTGAAGTAGGAATTTTACTCAAAGAGAAACAAGTTGGATGACGCAATTCTCTGAGAAAAATTCTTACGAACATTGCTATTAAATATGAACACAATGAGTTAAAACGCGACGAAAATTACGAGATGATTTTACGAACTGATAGATAAAGAATATCTGTAGCACGTAAATCGTACGCGACCTTGCGCGAATATCGAAGTTAACGTATATAGTTTAATGTCTTCTTCGATATAGAAGCATTACCGTCATTCCCCTGGCCTATCTGGATTCTCCTTCCGCGCGATCCGTCGAAATCCTTCCGCCCGAAAGGAGCCACGGATAAAAATGTCATTTGAATATTTGGCGTACGTCCGCGACATCATTTATAACGTGTGACAATAAAGTCTCGAGCTGGTAGTAATCTTTATGGCGCGATACACGACGCGCACGTACCCCTGTTCTCCCTCCGACCGACTTTCATTCGCTTTTTCGAGGCGCAGTTACTGCTTTTACGATATGCTAAGCGCCGGCAGCGTCGCCCTTTTCAAAAGATATTTGAGCTCTCATCGTCACGGGCGGAATATTTTCTGGCTGCTTAAACATCGGATTAACGATCTGTAATAACAAACAAACTATTTATGCAGCTATCCCTTCTCGGTGTAGAGTTCCAACTGCCGTTTCGTTCGGATTAGATCAACGTTAACATTCTGTCGTCGACTTCGTGATCAGTTATTTAGGTTATAACGCTATCACGTATTTGTGCAGTTGTGATTGTACTCGGTTGCTACAATATGTCCCCTAAAAAATTGAGAGATTGCGTTTATATCTGCGAAGTACTAAATTTTAATTTGGTATAATATTTTATATATATATATATATATATATGATTTAATTGAAATCTTTTTCTTACGCTGTTACAAAATATATGAACTGTTGCTATGTTTATAATATTATTTTAATTTTATACAATGATATGTATATTGCATTTTACACAAATATGAATTTTTGTAATCTTCAAAAATTTGTGTTATCTTTAGAATGTACTTTTTTTATATCAATAGAATATTATTTTATAATTATCGCAGCAAGATTCTAGTTCGCAGATTAGTGTGGTGAGCGTTCGCGCGAACATCGCAAGTCGTGGCGATTCATGGTCGACGATGGGGAAATAGTTTGGTAGACGTAAGTCGTACGTCGAGGGAAGGGGGTCCGGACGGTCACTTGGATTTGTGTGGTGTGAACGCGGGACGGACCAGTAAATCCACCCTTTCGTGGTCTCTTAGCGAACTCAGGTCATAGATCGTCCAAACTATCGTGAAACAACCCCCACCCTGCATCTACTGCGACCTCCGAACTACCCTTCGGGGTGCTTTGGCACCCTCGTAAGGAGCACGGTATCGCCCTCTTGTCCCGGAAGAAGCTCCGATTATGCGAATGGCTTTGGAAATTCACACTAAACTAAAGTGTCTTGTGTGCGAGTTACTATATCGGGAATCGCGAGTCAACAGCTACTAACATTATTTATATATGATATTTATTAAGACTTAAAGCTAACAAAATTTTGTCACTTTTATTTGAAAATTATTATCGTTGATTAATTAATTCTTATTCAAATTTAAAGGAAGAATTCGAAGACGATATTTTGATATTATCGCACGATTACCTTTGCACAATTCTTTCCATGACGCGTTTCTGCTTTTCTTCTTTTTCTTGAATCGGCTATGATATAGAATACACCGTGGGCTTGAAAAGAAAAGCGGCGCTCGTTAGTTCCGTGAGAAATTAATTATTTGCCCGCCATCGCTACGACCGCTCGAGTAATGGTGAAAAATGTCTGGATTGTGCGGGATTACATCACGTTGAGGGGGGGGGGGGAGGAGAGATGAGTTGAATAAGTGGGGGTGAGAACGGAGACCCGGAAAAAGAATAAGAAAGAATGTATCGGTGTGGCTCGTTACACTTAAATTGGAGGGAATGACTGAGTGGTCTCGTTATTCATCGCGAATAATATAGAAAAGGGCTTCCGAGTTCGCGCTTCACCTGAGCAACGATTCCTGACAGGATATCTGACACGACTAGATCGCGAGGGAGCCTTTTTCTCTTTGGGAGATGAATTGACGTTGCCGTGTCCGACGCCATAATCAGGCATTGAAAATGTCTCGTCCTTTATTCGAGGTCTCGAAAGCAATATTCAAAACTTGACTGACGGAATATTCTTGATCATTAGCGAAATATTTATGTACATACTTACAAAACAAATGTTCTTTTGCTGAGTTGACTTGCAATTATGATACAAGTTATGATATAATTTATTATAAACTAGATACAAAAACAGAATTGTTTGTATTCATTAATTACAAATTAATTAATTACAATAACAGATATTTTTTAAAAGTCTTTTACTGCATCTTGTATAAATAGTTACAATTATACACAGTTATACAATCAGTATTTTGACTGTATCTTATTTGCTGAAAGAGAAAAGTCCATCTATCTAGTAATATCTATTGAAATTGTCATACAATCGAGATGAATTGAAACTTTGACATCTTTATATAAATATATATATACTTTGCTACACGTAATTAATGCACTCGGAGGAATAGCGTTTCGCTAATTAGTTCGCTTTGTGCAAGAGTCGCGTCAAGGCATCCAAACAAAAAGGCATCGAACCAAATTGTTCACAAATTGGACGGATAACATTACCGTCCTCTATTAAATGGCGTTTACCCAACTCGTTGGCGTGTCGGCCTTTAACCCTCTCGGCACGAGCAAAACCACCATCGGGGAGGCCGCTTGGCTTGGGTTGGCGTAGTTTGAGCTGCCCATAGAGGTGGTCGTTTCTCTAAGATCAAGTGCTTTCCAGTACCACACTAAGCCAAACTCCTCCCGCTCTAACGTCCGTTCGTCCGGTCGGATCTGCCATCCAGGAAGGGGTGGATTGATAAACCAACCGCTCCCGTCCCTCTTGACCGGGCAAATTCTTGCGGACAGCCACTGGACTTCAGTGGATCTCAATATACGACCTCATTTTCGATGTTTGCCAATTTCGATGTGTCAAATTTTGTATGTCAGAAGATCAATGTAAACGAAAATATTTATGTCAGAAATATTTCGAGATGCATGCTAATAGAATGTGCTCTGTGTTTATTAATGTTGTAGAAAAATATTACTGAAGAATTTGATACCGTTTTACTTTAATCGTATAATTACCATCACATATTTATAACTCGGCACGATTTATTTACTTAAGCTCTATATATTTTTCCTAATTCTATAATATTATTTTACCTTAAATTTTACTCTGTCTGCACTCACCTATTTTTTTAAATAATTTATCAGCTAAAGAGCTAGAGTTCTTGGGATACGCGAGCATATTCTCAATAAGTGATCTCAAGATCATGCCACGAGGACGTCGACAAATTCCCACCCGAGTCTGTCCCCCGTAAGATGTCCCCTGGACCCGATCTACCGGGTGTCTCGTCGTCGTTGACGCACATAAGCCGCCTGCACCTTTCGTGAGAACGACGTCGTAACGACGGACGACTATCCGGCGCGGATGTCATTCTTCAGGACGGTAGGCTCGCGTGTCTGTTTTGGTTGTTGCGCCTCGTCACGAAGGGGGTCGCCACGACGTC